CCGGACGGACGCGGCGACGACCGGCGCGTGGTGATTTATTGGGTCCACTGGGTCTATGCCCATTTTGCGCCAAACCTCGTCCCTCTAAACACTGGGTACCCTTGGGGCACACCCCAAGTACCAACGCTCATGCCTTATAAGAACCTTCCAACAACTGTCCACCTAAATCAATGTGGACAAGGCATTTACAACCCTTAAGGAATTTCCACCAAAAACCTCCCATTTCCATGGAGACACACTTTGCTCAATTTTCCATTCACGTCAGAGTAATTGGTTTTGAGCAACCAAAGTATACCAACGTGTAATCGATCAACGCGGCATAGAACGCGTTTACACTTTGACCCGAGTAAAATCGATGCTCGGGCCACACTAAAAATACCAAACCTTGAGAAAAAATTCTGGGTAAAACTCAGAATTTCTCTACATTTCCAACAACCCCCAACAATGAATGGATTTTGATGACAACGGAAATGCAACAACTATGCAGACCTTTAACGAAAGAGTATAAAAAAAAAAAATGTCAAGAAATATTTTCATCAGGAAGGGTACGTTTCGGCCTTGAGACCTTCCCTTAGTGATAAACCTATCGGACTGTACTGCTAACAATAGACGCGATGCCTTGAATTGTTCAGCCGTTTGTAAGCCAAGACTATAGATATTCACACAAAACTACTTCGACACACGGTGGTGTCTCGCGAGTTGTTTCATTTTGGGCCTTGAACGCACCTGTTTCATTGAGGATTCTAGAGAATGAACCTTTTCATTCTCATAGAAACGGCCCCAGTTCAAACACTCATATAGGTGATTCTTATTGTGAGATCTCCATACTCGTCTTGATATTATGCCTTAATCAAGATATATAGTAATCATTAAAAAGCAAAGCTGTATCCTTATACCCCTTGCAGACAACATATTGCAGTCATCACTATCACCATGAGGAATGGGTAGAATTTAATCCCTTGGGATTTCTGGCGAGCCAACAAACTTAGTTGTCCCTTTAAACTTAGTTCTTGGGATCTCCAGTCATATAAGTAGGGTTACCATTATGACGATCTTATGTAGAATAGGCTTTAAATACCATCCCTCTTGATGAACTATACTCTAGCTCTTTTGCTCAAACCTTTTGTTTAACGAATCCGCAAGTATTCTCATTAGATTTTATATAATCTATTGAAGATTATCCGTTTGACAACAATTGCCGTTACGGTATTATGCCACGATGAATAGTCGTGACTTACCGTTATACAGTGATTTGCTGTGCCCTGCCTATTGCAAATGGATTGACTGATCACAATGAATTGCAGAAAACTGACACAGGTTTTGGCCACATTGGAATGTCTTCTAAGAAGTACGAAGCCATTCTGGCTTCTTCTCCTGCTCTTATCCAAAGCCAATGAACTCGGATCCATGTGGATCATGCGAAGCATGTTTGTTGTGGACTTCCAAGAAACAGCAGCGCCTCCTAACGTAAAGAAGCAAATCCACTGAGTGGATGTTTGGAATCTTTAAGTATCCGTAGTATCCCAATTGGCATCACAAAACCTTCGAGTACTCCTGGATATCGAGTAAAGGTTCAAACCATGATACACGAGTTACATCTTAGATATCTAAGAACATCCGAAATGATCGCTTCCAATGCGTCTCCGCCCCCTCGTCCCCATGCGCTCCCCCCACCGCCCTTTTCACCCATTTCTCCACCCCACCACTCCCCACCCCCCTTCCCCTTTTTCCACCCCCCTTTTTTATTCCCCCTCCAGGCCCCCCCTTTTTTTTTTTCCCCTCTCCCTCCCCTCCCCCACCCCTATCCCCCCTCCATTTCCCCCCTTCCCCTTCGCCGCATTTTCCCCTCTCCCCTTTTCTGTTTTTTCCTCTCCCCACCCCCCCCCCCCCCTCCCCCCCGCTCCCTCCCCCCTCCCCCTTCACCCCCCATTCCCTCCTTTTTGCCTCCCCCCCTCCCCTCCCCCTCCGCCCCTCCCCTCTTCCCCCCCTTCCCCCCCCTCCCTCCCCCCCCCCCCCGTTTCCACCCCCCCCGCCCCCTCCGCACCCCCCTTCCCCCCTCTCCCCCCCCCGCCCTCCCCTTCTTCCCCTCCTCTATCCACCATCCCTCCCCCCCTTTCCCCGCCCCCCTCCCCTCCCCCCCTCCCCCCCCCCTCCTCTCCCTCCCCTTCTCCCAACTCATCCACCCGCCCCCCCTTCCCCCCCCCCGATCCGCCCACCCCTTCCCTCCCCCCTCCCCTCCCCCCTTTTTCCTTTCCCTCGCCCCTCCCTTTTTCCCCTCCCCCCACCCCCATCCCTCGGCCTCACCTCCCCCTTCCCCCCCTTCCCCCTCTCCTTTTTTCCATCCCCTTTTTTCCTTCTCATCCCCCCCCTCCCTCATCCCCCCCCTTACCTCCTTTTCCCCTTTCGCCAATCCCCACCTCCTCCCCCCCCCCTCCACCCCCCTTTTTCTTCCTTCTCCGCTTCACCCCCCC